AGGGGGACCGGGGCTGTCCTTCTGTGACACGAAGGGCCCAACCCCAGGCTCGGGCTCCGGACAGGCCCCGATGGACACCCTGGGGATGCACTGGACGCCCTACTTTAGCCCCACCCAGCGCCTCTTCGTGTCCTGGCAGCAGGGCCTCGTGGCGAGCCTGGGGGCGGTGATGGGGGTCGGCTTTGTGATCTTTCTTCTTTACAACCCGGTGAAGGAGGATACGGTGCACCACACCGCCGTGGTCGCCTCGGAGGCTTTGTGCGATATCCGCCTCAGAGCCCGCGCGATGGAGCTCTCTAAGGACGTCGTCGATAACGTGCTGAACGATCCCAAGACGCTGGAGTTGGTGGTCGCTATCGCGGTGAAGCTGCTCGCGCAGGAGGATATAAAGATCGCTATCTCCTCGCTTTTGCAATCACTGTTTGAGGACCATTACACACAGGAGATCACTAAGAAGTTCGTACTGAAGATCCTGCGAGATCCATGGATTATGGAGCAGATCCATGTCATCGCAAAGGAACAGACGCTGCAAATTATAGAAACTAAGGAAGTCAAAGATGCTTTGATAAAACTGATCACCGAATCATCCGGGAAAATGTTGGATAACATAGAAGTTCAACATGTTGCAGCACGAGCCATACGGAAATCTTTTATTCAGGCAATCAATCCCTTGCGATAGCATTTGCCATCTTATTTGTGTGTGTTTGTTTAAATCATTTATTCCATCGCTACGAGATGTATAAAGTCTTTTTCTTTTTCACACATCGTTTGCTTTTTAGTATGAGGTCATAGAGGACTGCTTAGGCGTACTTTCTCCAATACTCCCCCAAAAAGTAAACGAGATCTGCTTGTATTTTTTTACATAAATGGAAATAATGAATAAAATGGTGGATTTTCTATTTTTAGTAACATTTTCAATAAATGCTTGCTGCGGTGTCTTAGATGTAGGAAAATATTTTATTGTGATTTGGATTAAATCTAGATGCACGTTGGGTCTTTTTCCTTGTTTCACCAGTTTATTAAACTTTATTCAGCGTTTTCTTTTTAGTGCCACTCCATTATTCAATGAGCGCGCAATCCTCTATTCTTATCGAAAAGCATGTCCAATTTATCGAATCAAACGATAAAAAATTGCAATGGAAGACACACCATTTAAAGATGAGTGGAGTGTATTGGGGTTTGTCTTCGCTACACCTTCTCGATCGGATGGACTACGCCAAGGAAGACGTCGTGGCGTTTGTGTGCAGCTGCTATAACGACGATGGGGGGTTTGGCGGCAACCAAGGCCACAGCTCCCACATTTTGTACACCATGTCCGCCGTCCAGCTTCTTTGTTTTTTCGACGCGTTGGACCAGATCGACGGCGATAAGACGGCGGGGTGGATCGCCTCCCTACAGCTCCCGGACGGCTCCTTTCAAGGCGATGAATGGGGGGAGGTGGATACGCGCTTTTCCTTCATTGCCGTCAGCGCGCTCCAGCTTCTAGGGCGTTTGTCTCGCATCAACCTCGAAACTGCGGTGGCTTGGGTGCTTTCCTGTCAAAATTGGGATGGTGGGTTTGGCGTCGCGCCTGGGGCGGAAAGCCACGCCGGGCAAATTTACTGCGCGCTCGGCGTCCTCACGATCGCGAATGCCCTGGATCGCATCCCCGTCGACGCGCTCGCCGCCTGGCTGGCATCGCGGCAGCTCCCCTCCGGTGGGCTGAACGGGAGGCCGGAGAAAAAAGCGGACGTTTGCTATAGTTGGTGGGTGATCGCATCCCTGGCGATGCTGAATTGCACCCATTGGATTGACCGCGAGGCGCTCTTTCGCTATATCTTTTCCTGCCAGGACGACGAGGATGGGGGGATTTCGGATAAGCCGGGCAATGCGGCAGATGTGTACCACACCTTCTTCGGCTTGTGTGGATTAAGCTTGCTGGACTATAAAGATTATCCTCTCAAGCAGATTAATCCGGTATACGCTATGCCTTATGACGTGTTAGAAAGGGTGGGAGTTCCTGAAGAGCGCGGTCTTTACGTCGGCTTTAGACGCTCCGAACCACACGCTTGATATCAAGTGCTTATTGAAAAGATTTGTATGCAAGTTTTTGGTATTGTTGCTCTTTCAATTTGTATAATTTAATTGTGTATGGCTTTTAAGTGGATAGGAACGTGAATTTCAAAAAAAAACTAAGCGCACTTTGTTTTTATTTCTTCTTAATTTTTTTTAATCAGCAGGGAAGATTTACGAAACACAAATTCCTTTCTTCCTTCCATTTCCATGGATTACTTTTAGGGTTTATATTTTTAGAAACAACAAAAAGTGAGAAAATGCGCTCGTTTTCTGCTTCAAGGCTGCTGTTTGGTGTTATTTCGAGAAGAATATTTTTTGAAGGTTACCGAAACACCTCAGGAAGCGCATCGAGCACGCAATCGAGTACACTTTTAGGGTCTTCTTTCCATTTGATGGAGAATGAAAAAACACCGCTTTCTACTATCCAACATTCGTGTAATTACTCGAGTGAGAGCTCAGAACTTACCGCATGTGTGACTCCTCAAACTCCCATGACTTTTGCAAGGAAAACCACCACCACTTCCCTCCCTTGGCATATTAACCTAATCCACAAAATTATCTCAAACAAGACGGAGGTGTTTGCGATCAAGCAAAAGCGGATAACAGGGGTTCTACAAAAACTCGAGGCCCACCATCAAGCCTGGCTGGAGGAGGTTGCCATGGACCCCCAACTGCCCTTTCATTGCTTTTCCCTCATAGAAGGATTGACCAAGGCGCGACCGTTCTTTGGGAAAGGGCGACGGGAGGAGCACGTGAGCAGCGCGGAGGAGGATTCGGGCTGGGATGGGGCCTCCCCGTACTTTTCCGAGGGCCTCAACGACACCCTCTGCGTTTGCCTGCGCAGCGCCATCCCCCACCACGGCTCAGCCGCGGCGTTGACGACGCTGCTGCGCGGGGCGGTGGAGCTCGAGCTCGTGGAGCTGTCGGCCCTTCAACATATCACACATCAACTCACCCGTCGGGAACTGCCGCCTGGGCCCTCCGCGGCCGACGCCGTGGAGGTGCTTTGGCTGCTTTCCCTCGCCGTCAAGCGCTGTAAACTGCCGCCGCCGTCGTTAAATTCGCTGCTCTGCGGCCTTTCCGGCGCTAAACTCACCCCGCGAGAAGCCTTGCACGTTTTTTCCGCGCTGGTTCGATTTCGAGATCGCTCCACGAACGAAGTTTTCGAAATCCTAACACGCCGAGCCGTGGTGGATGTGGGGGCATACACCACGCGGGATGTTGTTTTTGCCTTGCAGGCGATTACACTTCTGGATAATTCAAATATCGCCTATGCGCGAGCTTCGCTTCAGCGCTGTGCGGAGCTCGCGCCCAAAATGTCTGCAAAAGAAATCGGCGATGTCTCGAAATACCTCGCGCTTCTCCATTCCGGTCGAAAATACAATTCCATCGCAGAGGGCTGCGCGAAGGAGCTACGGGAAGCCCTTCCCGCAATTGCCGCTTGCGCGGAGGAACTCCTGGGGTCCTTTACCCTTCGCGATGCCCGAAATGTGCTCAAATGCCTTACGGTTCATAAAGTACGCCATGCCATTTTGTTTTCCCGCCTTACACCGTTCGTATTGGATGATTAAAAAGCCATAGACTGAATTATCAAAAAAACTACAGACAGTTTTCCGTCATCTCTTCTCTTTTCTTTTATCACCGCGCCTTGGGACTCCACCTCTTTTTTTACCTCCCTAATATTTTCCCTTCCATGAATTCTACTGATTCTTTCCCTTTGTCGTGTATTTTTTTTTCTCACCCGCTCTTTATCAATTGCCTCTTCTTTACTTTTCTTCTGGGTACTTTGCCCCATAATAGATCATCCACATCCAAGTTCTCTTCAGCCTTTATTCCCACCGAGGATCCCCTCTCCCCTAAATTCGTCCACCAAGTCAGCATGGCCAAGGGAAAGAAGTCCGCCGACGCCAAGGGCAGCCAAAAGCGCCAAAAGAAGGTCCTCCGCGAC